CATGATGTAACGTGACGACTCTGTTCTTCTCTACGTTTTCATAATAAAAAGAAATAAATGTGACGGATTCAGTGTCGTGGTCGTGACTTCATCAAGGGGGGGGGGGGGGGGGGGGGATTTTAAAAGTGAGGATATGACTAAAGCTGAAGCATGAAAGAGCAGACGTAAATGTCGAGGAAGGTTTCGGTGATAGAAGGTGTGAATGTGCCTGAAACATAAACACGTGATCGTCGCAGCAGAAGAAATGAGAAGAAAACAAGAGACGGGACGGAGACGGAGAAGGTCTGTCTGCTTCTGCTCATCTAGTATTAAATCACATTTCTGAGACACCAAAACAAACATGGTGACCCGTCAACACTCGTGATAAAGTCATTAAACCATTAAACCAAACTCAAGAACTGTTGTTGAACTGTTAATGGAGATGATTGAGACAGATAATTTTATTCTGTTCAGTTATTTACTTTCACTAAATTGTTTTTTTTAAACTATCTCCGGTTTCCTTGTTTCTCGCTTAGTATTTTAATTAGTAATTAATTATAACAGCTGGAAGGACAAAAAAAACTAAAAAAGAAAGCACAGTTTCATTCAGTCTCAAGATTCGTTTGAGTATTTTAATCCAAGTAGGATTTTATAAATGTCCATGCTGCTTTGGTGTCAGCAGGGGGCAGCAGAGACAACGCCCTAAAAATATCAATGGAGCCACAAAGTCAGTTTCACCATTCAGCACGAGGTACGACTCATGGTGCGGGTCATTGACATCTTTATTGTTCCTGCAGGTCGGGAGATGATGCTTCCACATCCGACCCGTGTGCACGTGTATTTTTGGAACATGAAGACGTTGATGCTCAAGTATGAAAAGGTCAAGAGAATTTAGAATAAATGAATATTCAGTGTTTCCAGGTTGTTATTTTCTTGTGTTGTCATCACGAGATGTCGAGATGCTTACACATAAAAAAATATTCAGTCCAGCTTCAAATTCTCAAAGTAAAAAACACAGATTTTGCTTGAAAACGGATTCACACACGTCGTGAAAACATGAATAACGAGGAGAAGTGAACAGGCGAAGCTTCCTGTGGCGAAACGGAGCGGCGCTGAGGTGGAGGCGAGGCGGACGCTGCAGGTGTAGAGCTGAGAGAAGAGGGGAGCCCGACTTAATGAAGCTGCTGCAGCATGCTGCTGTTACACCATCCACATGCATGCACCCTTTAAAAAAAGAGAGAGAGAGAGAGAGAAAACGCAAACCCCCGCACCCCACTGCGTTCCCCCCTTTTTCTTCCAGTGAAAGGATAAAGCCTGTTGCTAGGCAGGCAGTGTGCCAGTTGCTATGGGAACGCTTGCAGACATAGCTGGAAGGGGGGAAATCGTCGGGTTAGGGTGGGGATAAGGATGGGGCGCAAAAAAAATAGAGAGGGAGTGATGCAGAAGGAAAGTGTGTGTGTGTGTGTGTGTTTTTATGGGGGAGGGGGATCCAAGTTCACGTCCAATGCCTCTGCTCCTTCACTGTTTGTCTCCTCCAGCTGAAGGAGGAAACAAAGAGATGTGAAGGAATGGTGGTTCACTTGTAGTTCAGGCTCCACATTCAGGGTCACCCTCGGATAAATGTGACGATTCTGAATGAGCGGTAGTTTAAAAAAGAAAATCTCCCACACATCTGGAGCAGAAGAATCCAGATATTATCAAATCAAGAAGAATCCAGAATACAAGTGTTCAACAGTAATGAGGTGAGTTTAACAAACTAGAGTAAACACAGGAGCAAAAACACTTTTACTCTCACGACGCTGGTTCCACAAGTGAATTTGTCATGTTTCAGAAAATCAGAAAATAATATTGGAAAATAAAACTCTTATCTCACGAGTGAAGGAACTAACGAGATCAGAGACGTCACTATTACACCTGAGGATTGTGGGTAGTGGAGTATTTTCTTTTTGAAATCTCGAATAAAACACATCGTGGCTTGGATAATCCAAATCTTTATTTTTTCCTCCCAGAACCACTGTTGAGTTCTAAATGATGATAAATTCACAAGTCTTACTATAAAATATAAGAATGGTTTACGTCTGTATGTTTAAGTCCGTTGTTCTTGTTTTGCAATGTGTGATGACTGAATAAAAAAAATCTAAACAATAATAATTACACGAGAAAGCAAAAGTGAAAAGTCCCGAACAACCTTCAAGGACAGAAAACAGTCCAATTAGACGCAGACAGTTAATGACTGAACCGTTCAGCACAGATTCCAGCGTTACCGCGACGAGATGTGGAACAAGCTCTGTTACTTTATTACTTTTCCTTCAACACATTTTTTCGACCGTAAAGTGCAGAACAGCCTCGAAAGATGGACGGAGTCAGAGAACACACCCGCAGCCTTCGAGGCATCGAGTCAGGCCGTGTTCTTCTTTCCTGTTTAAATCGTTCGGTGGAAGACGCTGAGCAGAGCCCGGAGCAGGGAGATGACTATCTGACACGTGGAGACGCTCCAGTGACGGCTCAATATGCACAGTGGCTATTATCCAGACATCTTCACTTGATGTGCATGTTCTGCTCTCTATGGTTAAAAGGCGAGCAGCCAGAGAACTGCATCCATCTGTTATCTGTACAGTAGATCTCATTGTCTGAGGGTTGCGCTGGTTGATCCCAGCTGACAGCGTATCGTTGACCAACAACCATCAGCTCTTACAATCACAGTTTCGGTCGGAAACAAACACAAGATGCAAACTCCACACGGAGAGACCTCGGCCCTGCCTGAAGAAACTTTTTAGAAAAAGTCAAGAAGCAGACAGATCTCGTCCAAATCCTTTTTTTTTTTTTTACGCCCTCCTGTGGTGAGTCTCTCTCTGATGTCATTCCCTGCTCGCCAGCGTGAGAGACAAACATCCAACAGTCGGTGAATCTCCTCCGTGCTCCGTCCTGCCGGCCTGACTCACACACATTCCTGCTCAGAGATGAATCCAAACATGCACATGAGTTGCACAACGTGGCGGATTCAAACACCGTTTCCCTTACGCAGAAGATAAAGTTAATAGTTTTTAAATCAAAGATAAATCCGTGAAAGTAAAAGAATCTCATGAACCTTCCAGGTTTCTTTTGTCCCTGCATCACCTGTGAGTGGTTTATAACTGACGGGCAACAGCAGGTCGATGCAGCACCACAAGGAAACAGACGACGTGTGCAGATGATGTTATTGTGAACCGGCTCAAATCAATATCATCTGTGGGCTTCAACCATGAGGACAGAGGTGTGAGGTCTGCGTGTGTGAGTGTCCGGCTTTAATAAATAAAACTAACAAGATATATAAGGTGTAGTTTAACTGTGAGGTTTAGGTTGTGGAAGGTGCAGACGCTGCCGAGGTTTTCCTCCTCGTGCTAAGCTAAGCTACCCGGCCGCCTGAGGTGGCTCGTTCACTTACAGCCGAGGGGAGACGAGCAGACCGACGCCACGGTTTGCGGTCGTCTAATCCGACTCTTGTCTTAGAAGCAAACGAGGGTTTCACCCCAAACATGTCAAAGTCTGTCTCGGTGGTGAAGCCAGAGGAAAACAGACATGAATCCGTTTCACACAGAAAGTCACATGAGCTTGTTGTGGATGAAGTCTGCTGAGAGAAAACAGAATCTTTATATCTGTCGGCTCTCGGCTGGTTTCTGGTGTTTGATCTTCTTATCTGTTTTCATTTTTATATGCTGTAACCTTTCCATGGTTATCAATGGCCTTCATCTGACTGAGGCTGGCTCAGGGGCTATAGTCCCTCCCACACTCCCCCCTCCCCCCCCCCCTGCCTCTCCCCTCCTGCAACAGGATTTGAAGGCGAGGAGGGAGAGGGAGAGAGAGAGAGAGAGAGAGGGAGGGGGCAAAGCCGAGAGAGAAACAAAAAACGTGACGAGGCACGCAGAGCGTCCTGTTATGCAACAACTGACCTACTAACATAGATTTAGAGACTCGGAGAGCGAAGGAGAGGAAAAGGAAACGCAGAGGGAAGAATTGGAGCAAACATGACATGAGGCGCGCACTGGAAACACGCGGCACCGAGTCCACACTCGCATAAACCTCCACGAACCTGAGGGCTGGTGTTTGGAAAGTGAGAGAGAGAGAGAGACTGAGGGAAGCAGGCGGTGTGCAAAGCGGATTGTTGGACTTGACTGTCCGAAGCCTTCCGTGGATCCCGAGGCAAAGAGGTTGGTTTGTGTTGTTGTTGTTGTATTTTTGAATAACTGCGTCAGTACATTCACTTCTGATGTTGGATCACGTTTAGAAGACGCGCGCTCTTGGGATCAGCTTTTGTTTTTGCGCGTTTGGAGCTGGTTGCGCTCGTGCGCCATGAGGAGGGTTTGTTTTGGTGCGTTTTTCCTCAATGTCAGAGCGAAGCTGCGTCTTCAGCCTCGTCGTGGAGGGTCTGTGAGAGGGTGTGTGTGTGTGTCTGTGTGTGGGGGGGGGGGGGAGTCAGAGGTTTTGGGATTCCTTTAGAATAAAGAAGTGCGGTGGAAACGCACGGAGGCGAATGTGGATGTACGTTGGAGCGGTGCCATGGTTGTAATGAGGCTGGGTCAACACATCCGCGCCGCTGGAGTGTGGCGCATGTAACCCTCAGGTTTTACATCACAGATTATTGTGGTGCTGTTAGGGGGCCACTTGTGGGGCCCCTCTATTACACACCTGCCTAACTCAGCCGGACATAAAGACAGTGTACAGGTATATGTGCTTATTGTTATTGTTATTATTATTGAGTGTGCAGGTATTTGTAGTTATAATATTCATATTATTAGTATTAGTAGCAGTGTATATTACAAATTGTGCTGCTGGTATATGTGCCGTTTTTATTATTATTATCATTATTTTTACCATCACACAAATATTAGTGGTGTTTTTATCATTAGTAGTTGAGATATCTATATT